AACTTCCACAGCAACCACCCAATGCCCACAAACAAAGCTGTATTAGGACACTATTTAAAACAGGCCACCACTAACTGCAACATGCCGAGTCTACACAGAAAACAGGAAGAGCACTTATACAAAAATCTTCGCTATGAACGGATATCCCCACAACTTCATCTGCAGGTGCCTACTAAGTAGACAAGAGGACACAGTAGACCCTAACACACTGCCCTATATCAAGAACATATCAGAACTGACAAAGAGACTACTACGATCACTAGGATTCATTGCAGCACACAAGCCCATAGCTACTCTACGACAAACACTTGAGGATAAGAGACCCCATTCCCACAAAATGTAGAACCAACATAGTTTACAAACATCATGCAACGACTGCCACAAACATTACATCGGACAGACAGGAAAAAAACTAGCCATCAGAATACATGAACATCAGCTAGCAGCAAAATGACACGATGAACTTTCCTTAATATCAGTACACTTGGACAATATAACTATAGTAGCCCAAGCCAAACACAGGCACGCATGGGAATTTCTAGAGGCATGGTTCCCAACCCATAATGCAATCAACAAATATATAGAATGGGACCCCATATACAAACCCATACAGAAGAAAACCAGAAATGACACTACTCCCCATAAGGAACCGGACAGTATAAATTCCAAACGGAGTAGAATAACATTGCTTCATCGGAGGCCTCACTGGTGAGGTTACCTAGCATGGTGACAAAACATTTGAATGAAAACAAGCCAGCTCGGCGAGCAAGTCAACAACCTCTACAACAACCCAAGCTGCAAATCTTTGCTAAAACTCATCGAATATCCCCGCTTCTCATCTTACAATGGAGGGAAGGTTAACATTGAAACAGTTGAAGACTGATGGGTCTAAGACAATAGCTATTTGATACGGAGGCATTGCAAGTCCAAATACGGCAAGGTCTGTACACAGACAACTGGCAAGTAACAGTCACACCACAAATGCCAGATAATGACCACCTCCAGCAAGAGAGAATCTTAACCATGGAACTTTCACACTCAATGGTTCCCATCACTGAAACTTCCAATATCAACATCCTGGAGCCTATGATCGACCAGAAACTGAACTGGATCATCCAGAAGCAACTCCTGCATGATCTCCTGGAATGACATTTGACCTCCAACATTCACAACAGTCTTTGATTCCACCATTTGGGCAGCATTGGTGGCATCTGCATTGGAGAGGTTCATTGAGAACTCATAGTAGCAAGGGTAATCGGTGGAGGGGAGATAGTGCTGAAAAGTGGTGAACCAGTAGCAGAATTTTATTCACTGAGGCACGTATATTCATTGTTAGCCCAAGGTCTCAGCATCACAGGTGTCTGTCTTCAGGCAATTCGATTCAGTGAGTTATCATGAAACAGTTGGAGGCATTGGTTTCTGGAAAAGGCCATGACAACAATTCTAAATGCTTGTGTTCCAGAACTTGCCACACCCTAGCCAAGCTGCTCCAAAATACAAAGTTACAATACTTGCATTGACCAAAGGTGTGGAAAATTGCCCAGATATAGCCTGTGCATAAGAAGCAGGACAAATCCAACAGGGCCAATTATTGCCCTATCAACGTACTCTTGTTTGGTGAAGTGATGGAATGGGTGTTGATACTACTGAGCAGGTACTGCTCGAAAGCACTAACCTGCTCACTGACAATTTGAGTTCTGCCAGGATCACACTGTTCTTGATCAAAAGATGGACGAAAAGCTGAATTCCAGACGTGAGAGCAACACAAAGACTGCATCTGACTGAGTGTGCCATAAAGGAACGTTAGTAAAACCCAAGTCAATGTGAAATCATGAAGGAAAATGCCCATTGTTTGGAAACAATGTACCTGGCATGTAGGAAGATGGTTGTGGTTGTTGGAGATCAGTCACCTCAGCTCCAGGAGTTCCTCGAGGTAAAGTCCTTGGTTCAACCAGCTTCAGCTGCTTCAATGACCTTCCCTCTATCACAAGGACAGGAGTGGGGATATTCACTGATGATTGCAATGTTCAGCACCATACATAACTCCACATATACTGAAGCAGCCGTGTCCAGCTGCAATGAGACGTGGACATCATCTCGGCTTGGGCTGATAAGTGGCAAATTACATTCATGCCACACAAGTGCCAGGCAGTATCACTGAAGCAAAGAGAATAACATCAAACTAAAATTCTTTGACAGTCAAAAGCATGAGCATCGCTGAATTCTCCCACTACCAACATCCTAGGAGGCAGTATTGGCTAGAAGCTGAACTGGACCAGCCAGGAGCAGTTCAGAGGCTATGAACTCAGTGGTGTGATACGCAGTCCCTCTCCATCTTCTACATGGCACTGGTCAAGAGTTTGATTGAATGGTCTCCAATTGTCAGCAAGAATTGTCACTCCAAAAACAAACAGCTCAACACCATCTAGGACAAAGCAGACTGCTCGATTGGCACCTCATCTGCCACTATCAAAATCCCACTCCCTTCATCAATGCAAATAACAATGGAACAATAGAAGCTGTGGCTCAACACACCAAGGCTACACTGAGATGACCTTGCAAACCCAAACCCTCTGCCACCTCAAAAAGATAAAAGCAGTAGACCTTGGATCATAAATAGCTAGCATCCAAGTCAAGTTGGTAATAGGGAATTCAAATAGACTGTGGGCCTTTAATTCAGAAGGAATTAAGTATAAAACTCTTGCTAAAAGTATACAAGACACTCACCTGGAACACTGAACTGTTTTGGTCCTTATATCAAAAGGAAAGATTTACTGGGATGTAGTGCAGAGAAGGTTCTCTAGGCTGATCCCAGGCATGGAGGGATTTTCACAAGAAGTTGAGCTCATACTCATTTACTTTTCTAAACGACAGAGGTGACTTTATTGAAACATACAAGATTCATATTTGGCTTGATTGGGTAAATGTGAAGAGGTGGTTTCTCCTTGTAGGAGAATTTAAGACCAGAGGACTTAATGTTAGGAATAGGAAGTTGCCTTCTTAAAAGTAGAGGCAAGGAGGAATTTCTTTTCTCAGATAGTATTGAATCTGTCAAAATCTTTACTGCAGAAGGCTGTTGAGGCTGGCTTATTAAGTGAGATAAAAGGGAATCAAGAGTTATGTGGAAAGGCAGTAAAGTGCAGTTGAGGACCCTTAGATCAGCCATGACTTCAATGAAAAGCAGAGCAGACTTGCTGGACTGAATGGCCGCCTACATTTTATGGATACATGGGAGCATCACCATTTGTAAGATCCCCTTTGAGCCGCAAAACGTACTGAATTGCGACTATAAATCATTGTTACTTAACTTTCACCAAGTCAAAGTCCTGGAACTTCTTTCCTGATAGCACTATACCCACACCCAAGAGACTGCAGCAGGTTCAAAGGCAGCTCATCATCACTTTCAAGGGCAACTGGGGGATGGACAATAAGTGCTGGTCTCACCAGCAATGCAAACATACCGTAAACAAATAGAATACCATGTGGGCAAAAGTAGATAAATGCAGTATAATATGGGAAGGTATGATTTCTTTTTAGGCAGAAGAATACAGAAACAGTATACAGTTAAGTGGTCTATGAATACAGAATGCAAGGCACTTGGTCTCCCGGACCATGAATCATAAACGTAGCATGCAAATACAGCGTGTGATTTAGAAGACAAATGGAAAGTCGTTTGTGGCAGGAGGAATGGGAAATGAAAATGGGATGATTTGCTTCTATTGTAGAACTGGTGGGACAGCATTTAGGAGTATTGTGTAGAGTTTTTGGTCTGCATTAGAATAACATTGCAAACAGTGCAAAAAAGGTTCACTCAACTGATTCCTTGGACGGTAGTGTTCGAGGAAAAGGTCGACCCCGTTTCCATTGCATTTAGGAGAATGAGAGGGGATTTAATATTTCAGTAAGGGGACTTGACAGGTGGCATGCTGAAAGATGTTTCCCCTTGCAGGAGAGACTAGAACTAGGGAAACATTTCAAAAAAATAAAATTAAAAAAGTAGTGAATCCCATTGGGATGGAGACTTTTTTCCAAGGGTCAAGAGTTTGGAATTGCCTTCCCCACATAACTGTAGAGGTAGGGTCATTAAATATTTTTTTAAGGCCAAGTTAGACAAATTTTTGATTAACAAAGGATTCAGAAAGGGAGTTAGTGTCATCAGGGGTGGGGGAAAAATGTGAAATTAAAGCCATAAATCAGATCTGCCATAATTTTATTGAATAACAGAGCAGGACTGAGTGATCAATTGGCTTACTCCTACTCCTAATTCATGTTTGCATATTCAATATAGAGGCAAAATTTTAAATTCAGAATGAGAAGTGAGAGCATTCAGAAGTAATTTGCAGAAACCATGTAAACAAGTTCTACAGATATTGGTGGAGGGAGAACAGAAATGTCTTAGATTTGAAAAAAAGGGAACCAAAGATTAAGCAGAAGGTACGGAAAGCAGTGAAGCAAGGTGAGTTTACTATTGAATTGCAATCAATGTAGCAACAAACCAGGAAATGGACATTCATAAAAATTAAATTGCAAAAGCTATAATTATTTTCTGTACAGAAGAACATAAAAGCATAATTAATGCTATTCAACAAGGGCAACATATCCTTTGAACAGGATAGCAAGCACTAACCTCCAAGCAATTCATGGTTCTGCTTAAACATGAATGAGGTTATAGCAACACAAGGCTTCCCAAGTAATTTTAAACACTTGTTAAAAGTTTAATAGTGAAGAGCAATTTTAACAAATTAAACTGTATTCATTTCCTCCCCATCCCAACCTATTCAGTTCACTTTAAAACAAATACACAAACAGTAATTGCCAAATCAATTTACAAATGCCAGTTTGTATTGCTTGTACTTTGGGTTTTTTGTTTTAAACCAGCAGCTCCATATTTTCTAATAAAATAATTCCTGTTTTTGTACATAAACAACTTTGATACCAGAAGACTCCATCTGGAAGTTGGAAACTGTATACTAAACAATTCCAGTCTCAGTTCATCTTACCAAGGGTTATATGGCACCAATGGCACTCAGTTTGCCCTTCAGCAATCCATCCTTTTCCAACTTAACAACATCCGAGCCACCTCCGACACATTCTGTCCCAATGAACACACGTGGCACCTAGAATATAATAATAAGATTGATTGTGCAATTTTGAGAGGTTTTTTCCTGATACAATTTGATACTAATCCGCAATTCTCTTAGGCTTCGGTAAGTAAGCATCTTGTTTAGACTGATATTATTTCTATCATGGAGGTAGAGAAGAAAAGCTGCTTTCTAAGACACATCACTAAAAGTAGGAAAGATACAGAGATTTAAAGAGGAATCCCAGGCTTTAAACCTTGGCAGCCAGAAGCACTGCTACCAAATGGTACAGTGATTGAAATCAGGAATGTACAAGTCAGATCGAAGAGGCCATGCAGGATTTAGAAAACACAATGTATTTAAATTTAAATAGAAAATGAAATTCAGTGAGCACAGATGTAGCAACTAAGTGGGACTTGGTGTGAGTTAGGACACAAAGGCCTCATAGCCTCACATTTACAGAGGGTAGAACAGAAGAGGCCAGCCAGATGTGTTGGAGTAGTCATGTGTAGAGTTAAAAAGACAAGGAGGAGAGTTGAGGGTTTCACCAGATGAGCTGATGCAGAGCGTGATGTTAGTCAGGTAGAAATAGATGGTCTTCATGCTAGTGCTGATTTAGTCAGAAGTTTGTCATGATCAAAATGATGTCAGCCTTCCTGCTCGGCCTGCTGTGTTCATCCAGCTCTACACCTCGTTATCTCAGATTCTCCAGCATCGGCAGTTCCTACTATCTTGGAAACAGTCTGGTTCAGATTTAGCTAGGTGTGGAAACCTTGGGGGAGAAAATGAAAATAAGCACAGAATCTAAATTGTAAAAGATTGCAGAGCTGAGATGCAGAGGGATCTGGATATCCAAGTGCATGAATCACAAAGCTTAATATGCAGTGCAATTGGGAAAGCTAGCAGAATGTTAATTGTTGTTTATTGAGAGAAGAATTGAATTGATCTAAGGAGTGGCAGATGGGGTTTAACTTGGATAAATGTTAGGAATTGCATTTTGGTAAAACAAACAAGGGCTGGACTTATAATTTACATCTACAGCCAGAAGTGCCAACTGGATGACTCATCGCAACTTTGAGTTCCACAGGATCATACATGTCATGTTGTAGAACAAAGATTGAGGGATTCAAGTATATAATTTTTCAAAATTTGCATCACAGGTAGACAGGGTGGTTAGGCAGCATTTAGCACACTTGCCTTTATTGCCCAGACATTTGACTATAGCAGTTAGGATGTCATGTTGAGGTTGTACAGGACATTGAATCCTCTTCTGGAAGATTGTGCGCTGTCCTGGCCACCCTGCTATACGAAGGTGATTTTTAAAGTGGAGAGGATTCAGATAAGATTTACTAGGACGTTGCCGGGAATGAAGGGTTTGAGTTATAAAATTAGGCTGGATAGGATGGGACTTTTTCCCCCTGAACGAAAGGAGTTGGAGGGGTGACCTAATAGAGGTTTGTAAAATCATGACGGGCATAGATAAGGTGAATAGCAAGAGCTTTCCTCCTCTAGGGTGGTGCAGTTCAACACTAGGGGGCATATTTTTTATGTCGAGAGGAGAGAGTTTTAGAAAGGACATGAGGGGCAATCTTCTAAAAAGAAAGGTAGTTAATGTGTGGAAATGAACTGCCAGAAGTAGCAGTGGATGGAGGTGCAGTTACAACATTTAAAAAGACTTAAGGTTTTTGCAAAGAGGTTGTTGACTTGCTCGCCGAGCTGGCTGGTTTTCGTTCAGATGTTTTGTCACCATGCTAGATGACATCATCAGCGAGGCCCCCGATGAAGCGACGTTGTTCTACTCCGCTTGGAATTTATACTGTCTGGTATGTTATGGTGAGCAATGTCATTTCTGGTTTTGTTCTTATGGGTTTGTTTGGACAATGAAGGCCATCAGTTTAACTGGGACAAGGTAACCACAGTAGCCCAAGCCAAACATAGACACGCACGGGAATTCCTAGAGGTGTGGTTCTCCACCCACAATGCGATCAACAAACATATAGCATTGGACTCCATATACAAACCTATGCAGAAAACTGGAAATGATACTGCTCACCATAATGGACTGGACTGTGTAAATTCCAAGTGGAGTAGAACTACATCAATTCAATTGGAGGCCTTACTGATGATGTTACCTAGCGTGGTGACGAACATCTGAACTTATTTAAAAAGACATTTGGAGGAGTACATGAATAGGAAAGGTTTGGAGGCACATGGGCCAAATGCAGGCAAGTGGAACTAGTTTAGTTTGGGAACGTGTTCGGTGTGGACTAGTTGGACCGAAGGGTCTGTTTCCATATTGTATGATTCTCAATACGGAAGAACACAGCTAATGCTTCAGTTATATTGAGGCATTAGTGATGCCACAACTGGAGTAATGCATCCAGTATTGGTTTCCTTTTTGAAAAAAAAGGTGGGGTGTAAATTCTTTGGAAGCAGCTGAGTTTTATCACACTAATTCCCGGAATGGTCATGTTGTCTTGAAGCATTGGAGGGAAAACATTTATGTAGTGGTATTGTCCCCGAACTAACGATCCAGAGACTCAAGTGAAAGTTCTGGGAAACATGGGTTTGAATGCAACTAATAAATCTGGAATTAAAAGCTAGTTTAAGTGGGCACCACAATACGACTGTCTAATTGTCATAATAATCATCTGGTTCACTCATCTTTCAGGGGAAAAATAAACTATGCTTCTGTGATATGGCTATTTGGCTTCAGATCCACATTATTGCAATGGACTCTTAAAACACCCTGTGAAAATGGCTTCGCAAGCCACTCAGTTCGGAGAGATATTTAAAAAAAAAAGTCAGATTTTATAGCAAAGTAAAGAAGGGAGAAATCAATCACCAGTCATCCACTAAGCCACTGGAAATTACAACGCCGATCACTCTCTCTCACACACACACCTCAAAGACATCTGGGGATGTTGTGCCAGAGTTGAGCGAGCTATTTCACAGATGAGTGAAGCAGCACACTGACATGGTCATACCCACAGAATTATACCTTTCACACATCACCTCAGATATGAACACTGTCATGAGGCATGTCCTGTCCCAACTGCCAGACAGACCCAGCAGAAGTGATGGCACAGTGTTATATTGTTGAGAGCTTATCATCCTCAACATTTACTGTGGATCACATGACATCACATGTTCTCACATCAAACATAGGCATTAACTTCTGCTAATTACCACTATGCCCAATTTAATTTGTCCTCCATGTTGAGCAACACTCGGAAGACACATGGAGGGTGGAAAGGACTCAGAATGTGCTCTGGCTGGGGAAATTCAATATGTAACACCAAGACTGGCTCAGCAGCATCATTAATGGCCCAAACAAAAACAAAAAGCGAAATATGTACTCAACCTTGTATCTGCCATAGAAAATGACAACATCTGCCCATGAGATTATCACCAAGAGTGGCCATTGTGCAGTGTTTATGGAAACAGAACCGCGTCTTCACATTGAGAATGCCCTCAAATCAGCGTGGCACTCTCAATGCACCAAAATTGATCAGACTTCAAAAACAAATCTAGAAACTGAAAACCAGGTACTTGTGAGGTGCTGTGAGCTATAACCAACAGCTGAATTTTACTTGGTCACAAAGCTGTAACCTCTTGATTCATGAGCATAGACAGCGGAATCTCCTTGGTTCAAAGTACAGTCCAGAAGGTTTCAACCTGCTGAAGCTACAAACAGGACAATTCACATGTTAAACAGTACAAACAGCAACTGATAGATGGAGTTAAGGACTTCCACAACTATGGATCATATCTAGGCTCTGCAGTCCAGCTACTTCCACTCATGAATGATGGAGAATTAAACAACTCACTGGAGGAGATTCCACAATACCCCTATCCTCAACGATGGGAGAGCCCAGCACAGTGCAAAAGACCAGGCTGAAGCATTCGTATCTATAGCCAGAAGTGCCGAATGGATCATAAATACTAACGTTCAGCCAAATCAGTTCACTCCTTACGATGTCAAGAAATAACTTAATGCACTAAATACTGCCAAGATATAGTCTTAGAACAACATTCTGAAAGTAGTACTGAAATCTGGGGCTTTGGAACTTCACACACCCCTAGCCAGGCTGTTCCAGTAGTTACAGAACTGGCATCTAAAAAATTGCTCAGCTACATCCTGTGCCCAAAAAAAAGGACAAAAATTGAACCTGGTGAATTACTGCTCATCAGTCTATTCTCCGTCATCACTAAAGACACAGAAGTCATTGACAATTCAAGTGACACTGAATAGTAACTTCCTCACTGATGCTCAGCATCAGGATTGCTCAGTTCCTGACCTCATTCTGTTAAGACACAACAGCTGAATGCCACTGTGTGAAGTAAAGGTGATTGCCTTTAACACAAGGCAACATTTTACCAAATGCAGCATCAAGGAGCCCTAGCAAAACTGAGCCAGAGGAAAGTTCTCCACTGGTTTGAGTCATATCTAATACAGAAGGTTGTTGTGGTTTTGGAGATTAATCATTTGAGTCCAGGGCATCCCTGCAAGAGTTCCTCGGGGTGGTGTCTTCAGCTCAACCATCTTCAGCTCTTTGTTAATGCCCTGTCATCCAAAAGGTCAGATGTTGTTACCAACACTGAACATCACACTATCAAAATCCTGGGGATTTTCATTGACCAGAAACACAGAACTCGTCAAATAAATACAGTGGCTATAAGAGCAGGTCAGAGGCTAGAAATTCTGCAGCAAGCAAATTAGCTCCTAATGCCTCAATACCTGTTCACCATCTACAAGAAATAAGTCAGGAGTGTGATGGAATATCACCCAACTTGCCTGAATGACAAAGTGTCAAGTCCTGATGCAGCAATCGTGATTGAACAAAAGGCTCGATGGACCAGCCAGCATCCTCTTTCTTACTTTTATACAATATCATGAGACTGGAATTGCTTTCATATTATACACAGAGTGCACTTTTAAGGCCAATGGAGTAAGGCAATCAAATCTCATCAGTAGAAACCAAGTATAAATTTTGAATTTAAGGCAACCAATACTTAGTCCCAGTAAAAAGCAC